CCCCCCCGCCCAAAAAAAAGCTACATTTTGAGTACAACTCCAGGCGCCGGTCCTTTAGAACTGCACACTTGCGCTCATTTACACCAAAATAATGAGAAGTGTTTGTCATAGACTGCAAATAAATATTGTGACAGAATTTTATTTTTTTGTATAGCATCTTTGGAAGCCTTCCGCTTATTTTCGTCAACGAGCTAACATTTTATTTTTCAATTCAAAGCCACAAACGGCGAACTCGTACAACCATCTCTTATGATTAACATCACGAACGTGTAAACTGTCCGAAACACCGACAGCCGGCGAAATTAAAACGCAAGCTTTTGTGCACGGAGAAAAAAAAACGTGTAAGTGGCGCCAGCTTTGCGCAAAGCAGGCAAATTGCTTAACCATGCTCACAATCTGATCAACTCCGCAGCCTCATGTCCACCCAACATGACAACCGTAAGCCCCAAACTTTTTTTTTTTGGTTGGTTTTTTTTTTGTTTTGTTTTTTTTTTTTTAGGATCGAGGCAGAATATTTTCCTCGATCTTAACAATATATAAATTAACCCTGAACAAAATCCCACTTTTCCCCTATTGATTTGTCCCGCCCACGCTGCTGCACATGTACACTTTGACCCCGGGGGGGGGTCAGGCGTGGAAATCTCTCCAAAGTGCGCGTGGAGCGCTGGCAACACGCGTCGCTCGCGGGAAAACAATGTTGACTCTGTTCTGAAGCGTGAGCACCGCACCCACCGAATGAGAACCCCTCCCACCCCAACACGGCGGCCCTCCAGGTGGCTCTTAACGCCCGTGGCCCGTTCCGACATGCCGTCCCGATTTCTTCGACCGTTAACGCCGGAAAAATGCACATTATATGCAATTCCGGCGCGCCGGGGGGCTTTTAGCGCTCGAGTTACGTTGGCGCGGATGAACGGAGGAGACGTTCGTTGGGACTCAACATGAGCTGGCTGACCTTAACGAATCAGTAAGTGATATTGGAAGTGCTACCGATACGAACCCAGTAACCTTCTGCGGAACATGGAATCTTAACGCCGATTGTATCTCCGAAATATCTCCTTTATCAGACGCTCGGGTCCAGTATGGCATGCTACTAGTTGTCATTTATTGCCCCCCTTCATTGGGTAAAAAGCAATCACGTGTCAGTCAAGTTGAACGGGTGAAAGTTGGAGCTGATGCAGGGGGAAAAAAAAAAAAGCGTTGTCATGATGCTTGAGGTTTATGATGGTCTCCTATCTGGTGCAAAATGGGCTCGTCACGCCTTGCGCCGTCCATCGGGATAACTGTTCCATTTTATTATGAATAGGATTCATGCTATGATGATGATTGTTATTGCACGACGTATTCAACTGACAATCACTATTTAAAAAAAAAAAAAACAAGCAAAGAACATTTTTTATTTTTTTTAAAACGAAAATGTAATTTCTAAAAGAAAAAAAGGTTACTTTTTTTACAAAATCTCAGAAGCAAAATATTCTTTAAAAAGAAAGAAAAATGTTTGGTAAATAAAAATGTAGCGCAAGAGTTAAAAAAAATAAGACTGCAATTTCTAAAAGAAAAACAGGGTACTTTTAAAAGAATTTAAGAAGCAAAATATTCTGACAAAAGAAAGAAAAAATGTTTTGTAAATAAAATATTATTTTGAAATGAAAAACAAGGAGAAAAAAATCTTTCAAAAGATGTAAAAATAAATTATTTTAAAATCGGAATTTAAAAAAATAACGAACAAAAACCACCTCACCATTTCTCCCCCCCTTTTTTTTTCCTCTTTCAAATTTACTCTGACAGTATCAAGAACCGAAAACCGACCTCTTTATCGCACGCTATCTTTCGCATCGTAAAAACCTTGATCCCCGCCCATCATTAATTACAACTCTTTTGTTACCCAATGAATCAATGACGAAAGTTATTGTTTAATAACCAACCAACCTGGTGACAGACACTTACCGCATGCTCCCCCCGCCGGTGATCAATAACATCAAATCTTTATCGCTCTTCATGACATGATAACCATTCTCTTCTTTCGGTGTATTGCATGGTGGCCTTGGCGTAGCTCAAGCTAGAGAGGATCGTGCCAGCGTTTTTATCAGATATGAATCACGTCGCTGTCAATTATTGGTGAACAAAAGCTAACCCAAACTTCACGAGCCTCCTACTCGCCTCATGCTTTTATTATATAAATTATGTCACGCTGAAAAGTCTGAGGGGGGGGCACTGCCCCGATGCAGTTATACTTCTCCCAGCTGTACTTGACATACAGTACTGGAAAAAATATTTACGTCCTAAGCAACTTAGTCGTTGTTGCAAGGGAACATAATGGTGTAATTTTTATTTTTTCATGATGCGCGCACACACACACACACACACACACACTCATAAATAATTACCTTCATTCCAAGTTGACATCTCAGTAAGGTCATTCGCACAATTTACTGTGCGTGTTTACATTCCAGCTCAAATTCACTGAAACTCACGAACAGCATCAGCCCACACACGCCGCCAAAAACTCTCAAGACAATTTTATTCTCGAATGCAGTCAACCCTGATTCAACATGTCTTGGTAATTTTAGAAATGATCATTAAAATATTGTGTGGGATTTGCTGTATGGATACAATGGAGTCCCACAAGGCTCTTTCCTCAGCTCTTTTTGTTTTTGTTTTTTGTTTTTTTTGGACACCAAGTTTGGATCATTGCGGGGTACACCAAAAAGTCTCAATACCCCATGCCTGAAATTTCGGACGAAGTCAGACATTTTGGTTTGAAGCAGACATTTTGGGCGAATTGTCCTACTTGGGGATTCGCCAAAATCAGATTTATTTTTATTTTTTTTACTCACACGATTTCCGATTTTGCGGTTTAGTTTCTAGTGGTATCGAAAATGTGTTTGCCTCACTTTAGAGTCACGCAAAAGTCAAAATGGACAACCGCGATGCTTCCAGACTGAACGCGCTGTCAATCAAAATGATTATCTCGGTAGGGTTTTCAGTCTTTGGTTAACGTTTACCAAACCTCCACATGATCCGATGAGCATGTAATACTGTATCGGCCATCTGATCAATGTTTTGGAAGCCCTTTCTGCCGTGTTTCCATGTCGTAAATCTCCGAAAATATCCAAACACGGTGCTGTTGTTGACCTTTGGCAGCATTCCGCCCACCCCCCTCCACCCCGCTTAAAAAGCTCCTTGATTTCCACCTCCTTATAACAATGGCCTGTCCTGTCCCGTCCCTCCTCCAGGGGCGGAAAAGCCGCTACTGCTGAAAAGTTTTCGAAGACAGATATCAGTGAGAACAATGGTCAAGGATAAGGCAGGCATCCAAACTCGAGGGAATCCATCGTCATTACTGTTAATAATTACAGTCGGGCGTTGTGACTGCCGCGTAATTTATTGATGGCCGAACAGCCGGCCGTCGCACTTGCGATCCAAATGCTGGAGGAGGAGGAAAGCCCAGTGGAAAGTTTGGATTTGTAGTGCTCGATCAGGTAGGTGACAACACAGTAAGATTCTATGAGAGCTACGCCAAAATTGGACCATCGTTTTCAGTGTTTTTGAGAAATGGGCCAATTATTCTTTATTATTTTTGGCGTTTGAAAGAAAAACAGGTAATGTAGATATAAAATTGTATCGACCATCAATATATTCTTTAGACTTTGTCTTATGCACCTGGAAAAAAAAATATTGCCGCCTAAATCCTAAACAATGAAGTCAACAATTGGTTCCAAATTTGAATTCACAGTAACCGGGTTGCATATTAATTTCAAAGCACACGCTAGCTGTTTTTATAGCTGTTGTACAAGCTACTCAAGAACAAATCGACCTATCGATTATCATTTTAAAGGACAAAAACAGTCGCAGGTGTATGCTAATGTGAGGGGTTTTGCTTGCGTACACGCTAGCTGTTATGCCAACTCTAAATCCAGAGTTTAGCTTGAAACTAGTTTCACCTTACAAACTAATTGAAAAATATATATTTTGCTTTTAAAGTTTTTTTTTTTTTTTCTGGGTGTAATCGCTACTGTTAAAAAAAAAAAGTCTTGACGAAATAGAATGCATCAAGAAACTAAAGGTGCTTTCTGTCGTAGGTTTAAAGGAAGCGATTCATTGAAAGCGGCGCTCTTCTGGCATTGCTCGCTATTTATCAAATCCGACAAGTGATCCAGACCTCATGCGCTTCCTCGTCTGGACCTTTTGTTGTTAGCGGCGTCAAAGGTGATCTCAACGCTTCCTAATTTGCTTAAATGGATCTTAGCAGCAGCAGCAGCAGCAGCAGGTTGTCGGCGGGACTTCAGGCAGCCGCGATGCAAGCAGGGGCCAGCCAGTATGTGGTGACGCGTTCCCTGTACTCGGAGGAGTCGTTCGCCGAGGAGCACGAGAAGGTCTACAGGCACCGCAAGACCGCGCTGGAACACGTCAAGCAGTACTTCACGTGAGCCGCAGCACGTACTTCAGTACACTTTGAAACCTTTGATAGATAAGGCGTTATCTTCTTTCAACTGCGTATCGGTGATGCTGGTTTTGCGCCGCTATCTTAAAATGTGTCCGTTATTTATTAGTTTTCTTCTTCTTCGCCATTTATTCTCACAGGTGTGATGCCAGACGTGCCAAAAATGCCGTTTTCTCTCTTCTGCCGATCATCGGCTGGTTAAAGATCTACAGGGTCAAAGAGTGGTTGCTGAGTGATATCGTGTCGGGTGTCAGTACTGGACTTGTCGCCGTACTGCAAGGTTTTTAGTCTCCCATTTCTTGACAGTGACAGAGTGACACGTTGAGTGTGGTGAAAAGTACATTAAATGTGTCTTTTAGGTTTGGCCTACTGTCTCCTGGCTTCGCTTCCGCCCTGGTATGGCCTCTTCTCCGCTTTCTTCCCCGTTGTCATCTATTTTTTCCTCGGAACCTCCAGACACATCTCAGTGGGTAAGGCCGTTCTCCTTTTGACGGCCGTGTTTCGCTTACGAGTCTGAAGTTGTGAGCCTCCTCTGCCTTTTCTGAAAGGTCCGTTCCCGGTGCTGTGTCTGATGATCGGGTCGGTGGTCACCAGACTGGTCCCGGACGAAGGCCCGCCTGCGAACATCACGGGTTTTGAAGGTCTCACCAAGGATGAACAGAGAGTGCTGGTGGCATCCTCTGTGACGTTCCTTGTGGGAATCATGCAGGTGAAATTCTCAAGAACTCATGCCTGAATAGACACAGCTCTCATGAAAAAAAAATCACCAGCGGCTTCCCTCTTGCGGCTAACTTGGGTTTCGTTCAGACCTCAAAGTTCACCCGGCAGGTGTGCCCCAGGGCTCCGTCTTAAGGGCTCTGCTCATTCATCATCAATTTAGGTTGGATTTGATTTTAATGGAGGTTCTTGAGATTTTGTCCATATCCTTCAGACAAAACGATGCTTTTCCACCATCTTGGGGTATCTATTGGCATCTACAAGACATACAGGTTACGTAACTCCAGAACGTATGAATTTTCCTCACACTCATTTGTGTGTCTCACAATAGCAACTGTTGTTGCCACGGTAACCCACAATTTCCAAAACGGTTCTAATACTGTGATTTGAGAACTTTCAGATGGTTAAAATCTGCGTATTACAAATATTACATAATTTCTACAATTTGTCAATTTCTTCTTTCGTTCAAAGTTTGAGTTCCATGATTATCCAATGTTGTTAAAACTGCTTGAGTTCTTTTTTGAGAGGACGCAACGTATTCAAATGGTGCCAAATGTGTGTCTGTTAGCTGGCGATGGGCATCCTGCAGGTGGGCTTCGTAGTCATGTACCTATCAGACACTTTGGTGTCCGGCTTCACCACCGCAGCTGCCATCCACATCCTGGTGTCGCAGCTGAAGTTCGTGCTGGGCCTGCAAGTCCCCGGAATAAGTGGGCCGCTCTCCATTATTTACGTAAGACGAGAACAAAGCTTGGGATTTTGGGTTGGCGCAGTGGGATCCTTCACAGTTGTTGTTCTTCACAGACTTTGGAGATCATCTTCAACAAGATCCAGTCCACCAACGTTTGCGACGTGGTCATCTCCTTGGTGATCATGGCGGTGGTGTTCGTCGTCAAGGAGCTCAATGACCGATTCAAAGCCAAGTTGCCCGTTCCCATCCCAATCGAGGTTATCATGGTGAGGGGCTCTTCGCCGCACGCGTCCTCCCCAACGCATTTCCGCTTCAATCATCGGTCACGACAAAGACGATCACGCTAAATCTGCATCGCGATTGAATCGGCGCTAATGTGTTCCGTAGACTGTCATCGCATGTGGCGTTTCTTACGCGTTTGACTTCAGGACCAAGTATGGCATCGACATCGTCGGCCATATTCCAAAGGGGTACGGTACTGATGTCGGACATTACATTGAGAGACCTTGCAAGAAACAAAAGCCACAGCGTGACGGAAGAATCTAAAATACTTTCTCAGGTACGAGTCCCCCGTGGCCCCAAACCTGGTCATCTTCCAAGACACGGCCGTGGAGGCGTTCCCGATGGCCATCGTGGGTTTTGCCGTGGCCTTCTCTGTGGCTAAGGTCTATTCTGTGAAGCACGACTACACCATAGATGGAAACCAGGTGCATCAAATTTTTATATTATTGTTATTTTTATTTATTTATTTTTTAAACGATGTGAAAAGTGAACAGACCGAGATTGACATTTTTGATTGACCTCCAGGAGCTGATTGCTTTTGGAGTCAGCAACATTTTCGGTGCGTCCTTTAAGTCTTTTGCAGCCAGCACAGCTCTGTCCAGGAGTGCTGTACAGGAAAGTACCGGTGGAAAAACTCAGGTAACCCAAAAATGTGATTTTACTCAAACTGAAATCTCGTCACAAAAAAAAAATAAATAAAATAAAATCTCGTCCTCGAGTCTCACACGCGGTTAGCTCATCCTCCCCTCTTTTCAGATAGCCGGCTTGCTTTCGGCAATCATCGTGATGATCGTTACCTTGGCCGTGGGCTTTCTCCTGGACCCCCTCCCGAAGGTGGGCTTCCTCTGATCCGTTCTGTGTGTTTGTTTACACTTCCGCTGACCTCGTGTTCCCGAACAGTCCGTGCTGGGGGCGGTGGTCATCGTCAACCTGAAAGGAATGCTCATGCAGTTTCGAGAGATCCCGTATCTGTGGAGGCGGGACAAGCCGGACTGTGTAAGTGCGTTGATGCGTGGCGGCTGGAAGAAAATCATATTTAATGTTTGGGAGGGGGGGATTTTTTTTCCCATCCCAATCGAGGTTATCATGGTGAGGGGCTCTTCGCCGCACGCGTCCTCCCCAACGCATTTCCGCTTCAATCATCGGTCACGACAAAGACGATCACGCTAAATCTGCATCGCGATTGAATCGGCGCTAATGTGTTCCGTAGACTGTCATCGCATGTGGCGTTTCTTACGCGTTTGACTTCAGGACCAAGTATGGCATCGACATCGTCGGCCATATTCCAAAGGGGTACGGTACTGATGTCGGACATTACATTGAGAGACCTTGCAAGAAACAAAAGCCACAGCGTGACGGAAGAATCTAAAATACTTTCTCAGGTACGAGTCCCCCGTGGCCCCAAACCTGGTCATCTTCCAAGACACGGCCGTGGAGGCGTTCCCGATGGCCATCGTGGGTTTTGCCGTGGCCTTCTCTGTGGCTAAGGTCTATTCTGTGAAGCACGACTACACCATAGATGGAAACCAGGTGCATCAAATTTTTTATTATTATTTATTTATTGATTGATTGATTTTTTTAAACAACATGAAAAGTGAACAGACCGAGATTGACCTTTTTGATTGACCTCCAGGAGCTGATTGCTTTTGGAGTCAGCAACATTTTCGGTGCGTCCTTTAAGTCTTTTGCAGCCAGCACAGCTCTGTCCAGGAGTGCTGTACAGGAAAGTACCGGTGGAAAAACTCAGGTAACCCAAAAATGTGATTTTACTCAAACTGAAATCTCGTCAAAAAAAATAAAATAAAATAAAATCTCGTCCTCGAGTCTCACATGCGGTTAGCTCATCCTCCCCTCTTTTCAGATAGCCGGCTTGCTTTCGGCAATCATCGTGATGATCGTTACCTTGGCCGTGGGCTTTCTCCTGGACCCCCTCCCGAAGGTGGGCTTCCTCTCATCCGTTCTGTGTGTTTGTTTACACTTCCGCTGACCTCGTGTTCCCGAACAGTCCGTGCTGGGGGCGGTGGTCATCGTCAACCTGAAAGGAATGCTCATGCAGTTTCGAGAGATCCCGTATCTGTGGAGGCGGGACAAGCCGGACTGTGTAAGTGCGTTGATGCGTGGCGGCTGGAAGAAAATCATATTTAATGTTTGGGAGGGGGGGATTTTTTATTTTTTTTTTTTTGATGCAGGTGGTGTGGTTGGGCACATGTATCGCGGCCATCTTACTGGGGCTGGATCTTGGTCTGGCCGCGGGTCTCGGTGTGGAGCTACTCAGTGTCGTGCTCAGGGCTCAGTTGTAAGTACCTTTTCGTTTCAACGTTTTTGTTTGTTTTCTTGATTGCTTTTTCAGGGTCGTAGTTTTTATGTCTTATATTTCTTTGACTGTATTTCAGCCCCCGTTGCAGTGTGCTGGCCAACATTCACGGCACCGATATCTACAAGGACCGAAAGGACTACGTAAACGTGAGTTGACAATGGCGCAATTGATCCGTTTCTAAAGGGCTGTTGCTAAAATCCCAATGGACTTGTTTTCCAGATCTATGAGCCCGAAGGGGTGAAAATCTTTCGAATCCCGTCGCCAATCTTCTTCGCCAACATCGAGTTTTTCAGAAGCAAACTTGTGGAAGCCGTACGTCGACACGCAATGGCATGACGACATTTTCAATGACCTTTCGGGACATTTCAATCCCCAAATTCTTCAAATGTCCCGCAGGTTGGTTTTAATCCACTGAGGGTGCTCAGGAAGCGAAATAAGGCGCTCCGATTGATCCGGAAACTTCTTAAGAAAGGTTATCTCCAGTGGACATCAGTAAGTGATAAGCGGCTCAGTTGTAAGTAAATTAAATTGGCTTCATTTCAACTTTAATTTTCTCCCCATTTATTATTATTATTATTATTATTATTATTATTTTTAATTTTTTTGTATGAGATTATGTCATTTTGTAGCTTTCTTCCCCCCCCCCCCTCCCCCAACAATAATTTCAAAGCATCTGCCCAGCGGTATCATTTAAATACATTTTTAACACCCTGCTGGACATAGCATAAGCAATCTAAATAGTTTTCACGGTACACGTACAGTCCAGAGTGTCATAAATACTACAGCTCAAAACATCATAAATGCTGACGGCAATAAAGATTAGATAATAGTTTGACATTAGCCGGACTCAGCACTCGTGTATGTTTGTGTGTGTGTGTGTGTGTGTGTGTGTTGGGACATATTTTGTGACTGTATGTTGCTTTGTGAATGTTATTCTCTTTTGTCAAAGCAAAACTCCCCCCCCCCCCCCCCCCTCCCTTTCTCTGCGGGGGCCGCAGACGGAAAAAAAAAAAAGACATGTGGGAAAGTCATGTGTTTCCCTATTCCAGAACGGCTTCCTGAACACGGCGCGCGGCCCCATCAAGGAGTCGGTTGAGCTTGAAAGCAACGCGGAGGAACTGGTCCAGCCCACCGACTTCAAGGACCTGCCCGCCCGCGTGGACTGGAACGCCGAGCTTCCCGCCAACATCATTGTTCCCCGAGTGGACCTGCACAGTCTGGTGCTGGACTTTGCGGCCGTCTCCTTCCTGGATGTGTCCGCTCTCAAGGGTCTTAAAGCGGTCAGTTCATATTCTTGGACAATTTCGTCATGTGTTCTCATTACGCTGTCGTCTCATTTGTTGCAGGCTCTCAAAGAATTTGTCCGTGTTGAAGTGGATGTCTACATTGTTGCCTGTGATCGTAAGTGTCAACTTTTTTTTTGGGGGGGGGGGGGGGGCAATTTGGACAAATTAAAAAAACCGAAATGTCATTCTTTGACCATGGAAGTTAATGGCTTGAGCTAAAGTGATCCCAAACACGCAAAAATGACAATTTCAAATTGTCATTCTTTTGTACAAGTGCTAGAAAGTTTCAGATTTGACCCACGCCTGCCAAAATTACATTTTGATCAACTAGCATGTTAGCTAAAATGAAATTTTCAAATACTAGCATGTTGGCTAAAATGAAATTTTGATCCACGAGCATGTTAGCTAAAATGACATTTTGATCCACTAGCATGTTAGCTAAAATGACACTTTGATCTACTAGCATGTTAATTAAATCAAGGAAAATGCTTATCATATGTTTTGGGGGTTTTTTTTGGGAATGTTTCTGTCACTTTTACTGACTTTTTTTTTTTTGTTTTTCGTGTTTCTCAGTCATTGTTGATGTCTATGTGTGTATTTGTAGCTTACATCCTGGACAAATTGCATCACTGCAGCTTCTTTGATGATGAAGTGCAGCCGTCCATGTTCTTCCTGACACTGCACGACGCCGTGCTGCACATCCTGGATAAACATCCCCAGTGCTCCCAAAACGAGTCCAAATACAACAAGGTAGGAGGACACTTCAGTTCCGTTCCATTCCTTGTGTTACAGATGTGAATGTTCAAACTGGACTGAATGTTGTCTATTAAACATACTTTTTTGGATTAAAGTTTGGGTTTTGATGAACACTTCAGCCTACTACACGACCGCATTTGAATGTCCATTCATGAGTATTTGGATCGATTGTTTCATTGGCAGATTGAGACAACGGTCACGGTCCACCATCCTGCGGGAGGTCTCAGGAGCAGAGACAGGAATGTACGTATGACACACACTCATGTCATGTTATTTCAAAAGCCACCTTCTCCATCACAATATATATAATTAGATATAATTTTAAAATTGTGTTTTAAAATTGTTTAAAAAATATTACAACACAATTAGTACCAAATTCTATTTGTAACTATTCGATTTTGTCCACAGGCACCGGATCCAGAAACCAGATTTTAACTTCAACTCGTGATTGCTTATTGTGTTTATTTTATTGTTTGTGTTTGTTTTTTAAATCGCCAACACCAAAGGAAGTTTTTTTTTTGTTTTTTTTTTCCAGATGAGCTCATCAGAGCACAGTGCACTTAATATGTACTGCATGTCATGTTTGTGACTTGACAATCTGTATGCAAAGAGCGAAATTTTGTGTTTTCATACTGTACATAGCTGTTTGTGGATGTGTTGCAATGGATTTGTATGTGCTTCATAGGTCTATATTTCCAAGACGATGAGAAATAAATTAAGTTTTCGGAATGCCTTGTTTTGAAGCTGTCGACGTTTTACGGCGCCGCCAGCCGGAACAAAGATCATCTGTGACCTGAATCACGATGTGGAGTATCGAATATGGATGGATGGGCGTTAAATAAACATCCAAGTAGTCAAAACAATTCTAGGTTTTATACCTAAAAATATATATTTCATATGACGAGATCCTGTAACATGATGCACATTTGGAGAGTAAAATAGTAAACAAGTGTATTTAAATGATTTAATCAAAATGGAATTCACATAAAGTAGATAAAAATTGTGCTGAAATGTGAACCAAAACTTTTTTTTTTCAGATTAAACGCAAAATGTATTAAATACTGTTGAACTGTACTGAAAAAAAAAATACGGACCACCCGCCAACATCACATTTTTTGCAGGGTGAACGCACGACCACCAGAGGGTGCTGGTGGCTTCCTAAATGACTTTTCTCATGGGGCTCTTCCAGGTCGATGCGCTTTCCAATAATTCTAATTGTACAGCAAATATTAAATGTATGTGTTAGACTTAAAAGTTAAATGGAAGTCAACTGCGCAACAAATGTCATATCCTGGATTAAAAAAAAATAGTTGAAGTCAATGGGACATAAAAAAAAAAAAGTATATGTCCCATTAAAATGTTTCCTTTACACTGTCATAAAATGTCTTTCTTACACAGAGACGCACGTGTACGCGCGCCTCTGCATCTTTCTCGTTACCATGACAACCAGATCACCACGTTAGCGTGCTACAGCAAGGGGCAACTCACTGTTTCTATATTTCGCGACTTCTCCAACCGTTCTCACAACTAAAAAATAAATAAATTATGTGAACTTCTTTGTGAGGGTCGCAGTTACTTGCCACCACTTTTAGCGCTCTCGTGAGTAACGACTGTAATTTGTATTGGACAAAGGAGGGAGTAAAAAGTGCGGCCATCTGTTTTCAAATGAACAAGTAATGGTTGAAAAAGTCACCAGGAAAAAAAGCACACAGTTACTGAAAAATCGACTTTGTTAGAAAACACGTCAAGTAGGTCATGACAAGTTGAATAATATTGAACAACATAAAACGGGAGAGGCCGGTCACTTTCGCGTATTGGTCTGGTGGTTTGTTGTTATAAAACCAAGGTGCGCCGACATATGGGCGGAGTTGTAGTCAAGTGTTGCACCGCCCGCTCGGCACACCGAACGACAGGTGAACAAGGGTGAGTTTTGTACAGTGGTGAATTGTTTAGTACTTCGAGTTACAGAAACGTGTGGGCGGAGATCGAGTTGACCGTTGCACCTCTGAGAGGTGAACAAGGGTGAGTTTTGTTCAGTGGTGAATTGTTTAGTACTTCGAGTTACAGACGTGTGGGCGGAGATCGAGTTGACCGTTGCACCTCCCTCGCGTCACGCCAACAATTATGCATTTGACTTTCATTTACTCGTTTAATTTGAAATCAAATCACTGATCAAGTGAATTCACAATGATGAATACGAACGTTTGCGCGACCGCGCTCGTTGTTTTGTGCCTGTTGGACTTTACGGTGACTGAAAACTGTAAGTATATCTGTTCAAAATGATTTCTAAATATGCGAGTGATATTAAAGTCGTTTCAGTTGTATTATGTTGACAGATTCGGCATGCGTTAAAATTCACTTGGGGTGTTTCTCGTCGAGATAAAACATGCTGCCATGCGTAATGTGGTAATATCGACAACCATGATCATTTTAAGCGTGATAATCGTAATATGAAGAAATACAGAGAGACTGGAAGAGTCACCGACTGAAAATTGATCAGTCCGTTTTGTAGTTATGTAGTTTTTTTTTTTGTTTTTTTTTTATAGCTCCACCAGTCGTTCAAGTGTACAGCCGGACATTGGGAGTGTTCAACAAAAACAACACCCTCCTATGCCACGTAAGCCAATTCCACCCGCCGGTGATCGAAGTGGACCTGCTGAGAAACGGGGTCGTGATCAAGGAGGCCAATCAGACAGAGCTGGTCTTCGGGCCCGACTGGCACTTTCACGTGACCAAATATGTGCCCTTCGTCCCGCAAAGTACAGAGAAGTACACCTGCCGGGTGACCCACTTGGGGATTTCGAGGGAGGTTGTTTGGGGTACGTTTCCTTTTTCAGGTATCTACACCATGCGAAAGGAATATTTATTGTAATCGAATCAAATAATTAACCACACTGGCCGACCACAATAATATGATGAAATCCGTGACTTGATTTTATGATTTGTGCTTGATTAAATAAGAATAAAGTTCAGTAAACAGGGTGGTGAAGGGACTTACCTCACATTCAAAGACGCAAAAGGTTAAATAAGAGACTCTGTTTATACTCTGATTATCTTTTTCTGCAGAACCGGATATGTAACATCTTACCACTCCCTTGTTTTGGGTATGCACTGATTTCCTTTTCAAAATTATTTCTGAAATTATGAAACCAAATACTGTTTATATTTGTTGTATTTACCAAGTTTTTAACCCCTTGTTTGCCGCAGGTCTGCTGTACCTTCAGATGAAGGATCGATTACAAAAAGTAGTCCCCGATAAGAACAAATAATTTTGGCAGTGATGAATTTGCCTCTCAGAAGAAATGCAGCAGAACCAGACCAGTGACAGCCACGTGATCACGTCCATTCATGAAGTTGGCCACTAGAGGGCAGAAACACTACGAACTCTCAGGGAAAGCTTCGACATTTTTATAACCAAACTAGCAAAACAAAATAATACAAAACTAGAAACCACTGAACTGTAACTTTATTACAATTTGTCTGTACAGAAACAACAGTTTAAAAGGCTTAGAACGGCAACTACGCATGATAGGAGCGCCTCCTACGATTGCAGTTGCTTCTAAAAGGTAGCGTCAGTCGGATAAGTATTGCACCAGAAGTGGTATAAATAGGTTTCAAAATAAGAGTATTAACAGGAAGTTCGGTGTTCTCTGCCTTAATCTTGCTGATTTCGGTTTGGTAAATGTGCCTTCAGTGTCAAATTACTTTTCCCATGTTATGTATACTGTACTCGCATATCACTCCTTCTTTGCCTGATTGCATGTAAATATTTATTTCTGTTCTTTTACTTGTTGAAATAAACACTGATCGTGCTTTGGAATGCAACAGCGGTTGTAAACTTGATTTTTGATCGAATGCAATTTTGTTCGGGGGAATTGTAAGCTATTTTGACACACCAGTAAGTGTAATATAGTGTATCTTCATTAAAACGTGAACTATAGTGGACCGAGCCGAGCCTTTTCACTCCAGGGATGAAAATTAGACCCACTCCGGCAGTGACAACTGTGCCTCGAAAATTCAGGGGAAAAAAATAACCAAAAAAGCCTTGCCCCCTCACCCTCAGCGAATGACAGATGTGACGTCACTCATTGTTTACCACGGAAGCCCGGAGGGTGGCATACCGGAAAAGGTTCATGCACGCCGCCGCATGACTACACTAGTGCGTGTGTGAGAGCGGACGGGAGTTTCCACACTTTCACCAGAAGCAAAAAAAAAAAAAATTTGGGTGACACTCGCGGCTGTTGTCTGCGGAGACGGTCTAAAATGGACCCAAACACGTTTCTCTACAATGTCCCCCCGTTCGTCATTTTAAGATTTTGTGAAATCATGGACACGGGATGTCACCGCTATGGATGGCGCGGACTAGGTGAGTTTTTATTCATTTTACGATTAAAATTTGTGTCAGAATGTTTGATTCGGTGGCCAAACTTTACGTTTGAAGAATGGACACGTGAAAGTTTTAGGTTGGCAAAATGACGTTTTTGTTATGAACACATTTAAAATGAACGGCATAATCAGTATTTTTAGTACTTTTGTCACTTTACAGCCACGTTTTATACATCATGTTGGAATAATAATGCAAAATAACTAAAATCATTAAGTTACCAAAATCAAATGTGTTAAGGTAGAACACATGGAATGGTATTGAAACAAAAATGAATTGCATTACTAATCTTCAAATTAGCAGCTGTAATAGTAGCAGCACTTGTAAAAGTAACGAAGAAATCTATTATCAATGACAGGAAGCATTCCTGCCTGTTACTTCTGCTTATTTGTTTAAATTGGGTGAATGGTTTGCCTCATTGATATAAAAAGACACCACTCCTCTAGTATTTAACATTATCAACTGCTATTAAAAAGTAGAAAGAACTATGACATTGGGTATTTACTGAATGTTATGGTTTCTAATGAAATGCCAAAGGGAAGCATATGGAGCAGATAAAGAAACTCTCTTTTTGTCATGTAGCATGAAGTTTGACCCATCGCAGCAAACACACTATGAGTGGCACCCACTGGAGCAGGGGGCTTGTTTATGTTTAGGTCCCCCTGGAGCCATGTGTCCATAGGGGGCTTCGGGCTGGGGAGGGAGTTGGTTGGGGGGTGGGGAGGGAAAGATTGGTCTTGAATTTGGGTCACTCCCGGGGTAGTTGACGATCTTCAAAACTTGGCCATGGCTGCCATATGAATGATGATAAGAATGATGATATGAATGACACTGGTTGAAGGATTGACCCTTGTGGGACACCGTCACTTTTGTTTGCAGACTTCAATTATTTATGTATTTATTTAAACAAGTTTAAGCTTCTGTTCCACTTTCACACAGCCGCCCGCATCGTCCCGAGCTTCACGGAGGTCCGCATGTACGAGCGCATGGAGGCAGGGGGTCGCAGTCCCACAAAGGAACTGCTATGGTGTTGGGCCCAGCAGAACCCGCGAGTGCAGGACCTGCTGGAAGTCCTGCAGGACATGGGTCACTACAGGGCCATGCAGCTCTTTCAGGACCAGTGTTATGCAGTCAAAGGTACCGTAAATGCTGCTTCCAAGCTTCCTGGACCCGGGCTATACATCAGTCGAGTAATAAGCACAGATGGTATGTACATTAAATGTGTCTTGACTTTGTGTCACCATAAATCTTCATTGTTTACTCAATGTCTGTATTTGATATTTCAGCGACACCTTTGCCCCTCAGTAATAAATGCGAACTCACAGGACATGTGTCACCAACTAATAAGAGGGTAATGATGACTTTTTCTAGAATGATGCAACTAGCAAAAAGAAGTTTCTATAGGACTGTTTTGTTTTTTCTTTTCTTTTTATAGGAGGCCATCGGGTTTGAGACGAGTCATTCTCATGATACAATGAGTCCGAGTACGTAAAGAAAAACATTTCTCAGAATGATTACGTTACTCATATATGGAATTTCTACATCCTGAATTTCTGTTTCGTCATTTTCTGCAGGAGAACCACAACCACAAATCACTTTGCAGAACATTGTGGCGGGAACCAGAGATTTTAACCAGGAAATGAGAATTTCGGAGGGCTGCTTCTCTGACGTCTACCTGGCACGGATTGGAGGCGACATGTTCGCGGTGAAGCTTTTCAAACAGGTGACTGGAAAAACGGCACCTAATCTTGTTCTTAAGATGCCCTGTTGACATTTGAACCCATTTTTATAACGGTGTGACATAACTTGCAATTTTTAAAAAATAAAATGATGTCACAAAATCAGGCCGCAATAATCAGTTTTACATCCAGAATTGACTGAAGTCGCTGAACAAACAGAAGTGAAAGTCTTTATTTTATTTTGAGCATAATTTCGGTTTTGCTCGAGTGATCTGCTCATTCTTTTGCAGGTAAACAACGCGCAATTTTTAAAAAATAAAACAATGCCACAAAATCAGGCCGCAATAATCAGTTTTTCATCCAGAATTGACTCAAGTCGCTGAACAAACGGATAACAGAAGTGAAAGTCTTCATTTTATTTTGAGCGTAATTTCAGTTTTGCTCGAGTGATCTGCTCATTCTTTTGCAGGTAAACAACGTATCCTGGAAGAAGCTGTGGGACGTGTTTCGAAAGGAAATGGAAATTCATCGATTGTACGTGTTATCGGTAAAAAAAAAACAATTTTTTGGGCAGGACCGATTACAAACGGCTTTGATGTGTTGCAGGTGCCGACATCCAAACATTTTAGAGTTGTTGGGCTGCTTCTCCGATGAGACGCGCTACTGTCTGGTCTATCCTTACATGTCAAAGGGGTCGCTCTTCCACAGACTCCATCATCAGGTAGATTGATTTTGTATTAGTATCAGCTGAAAGTGGACTCAAAAAGAACATGCGCCAATTATTTTTTATTTATTTATTTTTATTCAGTTATTTTCTCAGAGACGCTGCCTACAGAAAAACAGTCAAACAAACTAAAACTGTCATGCTGAGTCAAAAGCCAAATGAGTGACATTAAAAACCAATGCCGTGCGGAGTATTTTTAAAAGAGCCAGAGGCGGACAAATTATATTGATTATAACTGCTACAAGTGTGCACATGTGAAGTCTCCCTTTTAACGTGTGAGCAAACTAAATGACTATAATGGCGTCTACAGAACAGTGGGCCCCCTTTGTCCTGGCAAGAACGTCTCGCCGTCATCAACGGGATCGCCAAGGCCTTACATCACCTCCATACGGCCCAACCATGCGCAGTCATCTGTGGGAATCTTTCCAGGTACGTTCTCACTTATGCTTCACGATGTCCTCAAAAAAAAAAAATCTCTGGAATTTTTCAAAATATACAGAAAATATATGACTCGTGTGCATAGTTCCAACATACTCCTGGATGACGCCATGCAAGCCAAGCTGTCCGATTTCGGCCTGGCCCGACTCCGTCCTCATTCGGCCAACCGTCTTTCCACCATCACCTTGGGTGCGGGTTCCCACGGCAACCCGGCGTACCTCCCCGAGGAGTACCTCCGAAATGGCAAACTCTCCGCCGGTTTGGATGTTTTCAGCTTCGGAATGGTGACGTAACTCATTGACTCCGTCATTCAACCGAAATGAACAGTTGTTGTCATAACTACGACTGCCAAAACAAAAATGTTATAATCTTCTCATCAAATGTCACACTCACTTCCTTTTTTTTTTTTTTCACGCCATATCAACACAACACGTTTCGCGGTCCACCGAATAGCCCAGTCTGAACTTCCGCTTTTGCTCTAGTTTCAAGTACCAACTGTCGCTGTGTGTTTGACTGAAAAGCAGCAAGCAGTCTGACATAGCAGGAAATGACGCCGCAAAAAGTTTTCAGGACACTGTTCGGCAAAGCAGCAGCGAATCAAAGCGTTTGTGGTTAGGATGGAAATTTTACACAGGAATTTGTCTTTTAAAATATGTAATCAGAATGAAACCTTTCAGGCACAGCGGCCACTACAGTGGACAGACTATCAAGTTATCAGGTTACAGGTTATCATTATTGGTGCATGAAAGGGTTAAAAAAAAAAACAATACTTGACATACGTGTTATCAGTGTCATGGTATCAGTGCATTTTTAAAAGTAGCCGCAGTCTATCCCTAATGATACATGATTCAATTTATGGTTTGTAGAGTCCCAACTCAAAACGACAGCATTTCACAATTGTGTACGCCCCTTCACATTTCCGCAATGCGTGCCCGTAGGTTGTCATGGAAACGGTGACGGGACGCCAAGTCGTCGCGGAGCTGCCGAAACGTACGCTGCTGGTGAGTGAAGACCACGGCTGAAACGGCAACAGTGTCTATTCAAATTCAAGTTAAAAAAAAAACCAAAACAAAAAAAAAAAAAAAAAACGTCTTTATTTGCGTCTCCTTTCAACAGCGCGATTTGCTCACCTCCGAAGCGGAAGACAGCGGCGGCGTGGACTCTTGCCTGCAGTTTTTGGATGCGTCTGCCGGTCGATGGCCGACGTCTTTGGAGCGCAGTCTGCTGGATCTTTCCTTGCGATGCGTCGCGAGTCACCCCAGCAGGCCCAGCATGGAGAACGTAAGCTCCGAAGTTCATTGGGAAATCTTTTTTTTTCCTATCAGGGGCCAGTTTCAATTAATTAAAATCATATTAAACATACTTTTATAAATAAAACCTGCGTTGTTTTTTGATGAACGCTTGGGCCTACTATGCTACTGAATTTTAACGTTGGCCATTTTTGTATCACATGAATTTTTCGAAAAAATTTCCCCCCAAAAAACTAAAACTAATATTAAAACTAATAAAAAAACAAACAAACCCACTCTGAAATTAAAAAAAAAAAAAAACGAACTCACTGTCATAAAAATTCTAAAACCATTATAACCCTGATGCACTGTTTTGTTTGTGGCTATGTCATTTGCATTTTCTTTTTTAGGTTCTTCAGACATTGGGTCAGTTGCTTCCACCTTCTGGCTACTTGTCTTTGGATCGCCCTCACAGTCTGGATGAC